TTGTTATTATTGTTATTATTATTGTTATTATTATTATTATTATTATTATTATTATTAGGTGTGTAAACCGGTTCAAAACCGGACCGGACCGGAATCGTACGTAACCGGATTTTCCATGATATACAAACCGAAAATCGGACCGGACCGGACCGTAACCGTAACCGGATTTTCCATGATATGCAAACCGAAAACCGGACTGGATGTATTCCGATTTTTACCCGGAACCGAACCGGTTCATCCGGTTCAAAACCGGAACCGGACCGGTTCATCCGGTTCAAAACCGAAAACCGGACCGGATGTATTCCGGTTTTTACCCAGAACCAAACCGGTTCATCCGGTTCAAAACCGGAACTGAATCGGTTCATCTGGTTCAAAAACGAAAACCAGACCGGATATCATTGCGGTTCCGATTTTTCCAGTCCGGTTCAGTCCGTATTTCCGGTTTAAGCCGGATAGTGCACGCTCCTAAATATTATTATTATTATTATTATTGTTGTTATTATTATTATTATTAGTTATATTACCTTTATAACGAATAGACAAAATTTTAGCATGCTGAAAGAAATATTATTATTTTTAATTATAAACGAATAAAATATAATTATTTATGGATTATAATATATATAAAAATAAAATCTTTATGCAAAAAATATAAAAAATAAAATTTCAGACCAGACCAGACCAAAACAGACTAGATCAGATCAGATCAGACCAGACCAGACCAGCAAATTACGGCTCAAGTAAAAACATCCTCAATTCTCACGTTGGAAGATAACTAAGGAACGGGGGAGTACCATGTTACACAATTGTCTAATATTCATCGGTGAGAGCTAATGCCCATCCGATTGTGAGACTCCGCTCTCATTTTCTCAAATATCAAATTTTCCACTTTTTTCTTTACATGCGATGATGCGAAGTGTATGAATGTAAAATGTTTACACTATTCGACTTATTTATTTAGAGTCCGTTTGGTAACACTGAAATTGACTGAATCAGTTGATTCTGTTGAAATTTATGAAGTTATAGTTGAAGTGACTGGATTGACTGATTCTGTTGATTTATTAAAAAGTTATATTTAAAATATATTTTTTTTGATAAAAGAAAGAAAAAATTATATGAAAAAATAGTTAAAATGATCTTCTGCAGTAACTTCAGCCAATACGGCCAGAAAAGTAACTTCAAGCTTACCTTTTCTTATTATTATACAACTCAACGCACAAAATCAAAATTACGTGTTTGGTGAAAAAGTTAGCTGATATGCCTGATAAGCCAAAACAAAGTGTCACCAAACGGCTATTAATGTAAACCGTAGAGCACTTGTTAAAAACATTTTGCACTAAACTGTGTAAAACATTTTACGTTATGATAATGTGATAAAAATATCTTGCTTACTTTTTATAAAGTATTGCAACTACTTCATGTGTAACATGAAATTAAATTACACATCTAGTTAACTATTATAACCATATAATCTATTTTAGATGCTAAGTGACTGTTCCTAGACTTTATATGCAATCATTTAATGTGCAAACCTAAACAACCTTTTTCTCTAAAGATTTGACATGTACGCTGTAGTTAGGCAAATTATAATGTACTAGGGGTGGACAAAATGATTTGGTTTAATCAAATCGAACCAAACCAAATCGAAAATTGGTAGTTTGGTTTGAAATTACTTAAGTAAACCGTTTGGTAACAATTTTGCTCAAACCAAACGTTTGGTTTAAAACTGAAAAGCCGTAAACTGAACTGAACACCGAACAACTTACACACACACAAATACTTTGTATTTATCTCCATTCTTCATTTTTAAGATATAAATAAATAAGTTAGACATGAAAAACACATATTTAGCATATACAGTACCATTTTAACTTTTACACAATTCATACATTTATTATGACAAATTTAACTAATATGACATATTTGTATTTGTTATGTTTGGCGATAAAAAGAGCAAATAACATTTATATTTTTTACATGATTCATTTGAATAAAATTGTGAATATTACAACATTTGTACCACCGACTACTTTAGTTTTTCTTTGAATATTTTATGTGATATTATAAATGCTAATCAACTATAATCTTATTTTTTGTGAGAAGTGAATCTTTTTCTAGTTATTGAAAAGATGTTAGAAGTTTTAATTTATACTTCCTCCATCCCGAAAATACTTCCCACTTTCTTTTTTGGGTTGTTCCAAAAAATACTCCTCACTTTCCCTTTTTGGACAATTTGCGTGGCTCACATTCATTTTACCTTTTTCTTACACAACTACAACCATATATTTCCACTTTATTCCACTTTCTTAATAAGCGTTTCAATCCAAACCTGAAAGTATTTTTTTGGGACGGAGGGAGTAATATTTTTTTTCTATCTCTTATTTCCTTTTACATTTTATATCAATAATCAATAAAAGAAGATGAGATGGACGTGTACTATCATTTTCTAACTCTAAGATATAAAACTTGATCAAATAAGATAATAAATATAAGAAAACGAATCAAATCAAACTAAATTAAACCTAATACTTTTTACTTTGGTAAACCGTACCTCAAACTGAACCGAACCAAAACCAAACCGAAACTAAATCAAAACACAAATGCCCACCCCTATAATGTACTGTCCCCGGACCCCGGTTAACTTTTACATCTTGATATTTTTGGGACAATTGCTGATTTTAAGCCTTTTTTATCATAAAAGAGCGTTTTTTATATTAAAATCGAGAACACATACAAGACAATTTTCATACAGATTTTACAGATCCAACCGTGAACCCTAGAAATAGACACAGAGTCAGTCATCTCATACAAAGTAACTTGAATCACTATACTTGAAATGAGCAATTTAAAGCCCAAAATGATAGGAAGTGAAATTTTGCCTATCAAAAGAATTTCAACAAGCCAAACTTCCAGACCAAACCTACTCAGATTAGAATAAAACTAAGTAACAACATAATAATAAAAAAACAACATCCTAGCCTTAGTCCCAAAAGATATTGGGGTCGGCTAACATGAAACGATACATGATATCACAACCAAAAGGAAAAGAAGGAAAAAAGATAAAAAGATAAGCTATTATGAAAAGATAATATAAAAAAGATGAATATATATAAAAATGATAAAATAAAAAGGCTGCAAATAATGCATATATATAAGGATAAAAAAAACTAGGGAAAAAAAAGATGAGGGAAAAAGATTATCAAGATCACTCCTTCACGTGAATACCCGCCCTCCACTTAGTTCTCTCCAAAGTCATGCCCTCATCCAACCCCAGAAGAAGCATATCACTTCGAACTCCCCTAACCCACGTCTGTTTGGGTCTTCCTCTCCCTCTCTTCCCTGCCTCTTCTCCACACATCTCAACTCGCCTAACAGGTGCATCACTCGGTCTTCTACGCACATGACCAAACCACCGTAGGCGCGACTCCCGCATCTTGTCTTCAATAGGTGCTACTCCCACCCTTTGTCTGATTGTTTCATTCCTCATGCGGTCCTTCCTAGTATGCCCACACATCCAACGCAGCATGCGCATCTCTGCCACACTCATCTTTTGAATGTGACATTGTTTCACCGCCCAACACTCTACGCCATACAGTAATGCAGGCCTAATTGCTGTCCTATAAAATTTACCCTTCAGTCTAGTCGGCATACCTCGGTCGCATAGAAATCCTGACGCACTCTTCCACTTCATCCACCCTGCTCTGATTCTATGGGATACATCTCCCTCTAACTCACCGTCCTTCTGAATTATGGAGCCCAAGTAACGGAACATATCGCTGACTGGTATCTCCTTACCATCCAGAGTAATTCCGCTATTACCACTACTTCTACCTCCACCAAACTTGCACTCCATGTACTCTGTCTTGCTCCGACTTAGTTTGAAACCCTTATTCTCCAATGTTTGTCGCATTTGGTTTACCTCCACCATACTTCCAACTTTGCTTTAAGACCTGATTGCGTCTCATCAATCAATACAATATCGTCGGCAAACATCATGCACCACGGTATATCATCTTGAATTGACTTCGTAAGTTCATCCATGACTATGGCAAATAAGAAAGGACTCAAGGCCGATCCTTGGTGCACTCCGATAGTAATAGGGAACTCTTCAGTCCTCCCTACACTAGTACGAACACTTGTAGTACAATCCTCATACATATCCATGATGATGCTGATATACTTGCGTGATATGCCTTTCCTAGTTAAGGCTCACCAAAGAACTTCTCGAGGTACCCCATCATATGCCTTTTCTAAGTCAATGAACACCAAATGCAGATCCTTATGAGCATCTCTATACTTCTCCATAAGTTGACGAAGAAGGTGAATAGCCTCAGTTGTTGAGCGACCATGCATAAAACCGAATTGATTCTCTGAAATCTTCACAGTCCTTCGAAGTCTTTGCTCAATAAGTAACAACATAATTGTGGATCGTTGCGCTTACCGCTACACCAAAAGCAATTGCTGATAGTGAAGCACGCTCCTCCCCCTTTATAGCACAAGCGAAGCGCCACGCGGTCCGATTGCACCGGCAGGCTGGCTGTTGCTGGCATCGCATACCCGCGGCCCAACAATCTCCCCCCCAGCACCTGCCAGCCTACAACTGTGCAGCATGCTGTTGCCGGGGGTCGAACCCGTGACCTTGGCTCTGATACCACTTGTGGATCGTTGCGCTTACCGCTACACCAAAAGCAATTGCTGATAGTGAAGCACGCTCCTCCCCCTTTATAGCACAAGCGAAGCGCCACGCGGTCCGATTGCACCGGCAGGCTGGCTGTTGCTGGCACCGCATACTCGCGGCCCAACAATAATAATAATGACATAAAATCATTCCACAAAATGACAAAAGTCTTAATAAAGCTTATTTGATCATGTTTACGTTTGGGTCGTGTATTCCACTTTTTCATAGAATTAGAAAATGCCCAGTCATCACATATGACATATACATTGTGCCATTGTGGCCCTTTCTTCCGTCGGACAGTACAAAATTTAAAGTATAAACAGTGAGTGGCTGCTACTCTGCTAGCCAGTGAGGTCCCAAAATCTAATATAGGCAAAGGAAAACAAGGCACTCTACTCAATAAAGTTTTCGACTTAACGTATGTAAAGTTGCTCCATTTTAGAAATCTAAACTGAACGACAAGATTGGTGCTTACTTTGGGCATGTCCCCATCTTCTTTTCCACAATTGTGTTGGAAATCAGAGAGATATATTGATACGTATATTAGACGAAGTGATGCGGACAGAGTGTGAGATCGACCCTAGGGTCAAACGCTGCAGTATCCACCGTCCGATCACCCATCCGCCGAAATACTTTCTCAACTCGGTACATTTATTTGTTCACTGCTGTTTTTTCATTCTTGGTCTTACGAGGTACTGTTTTTTTTAATGCAAGATTTAACCTTTTTATTTTTTAATTGCTCGACCTGTTGTTCTAGTTCCTACATTCTTGGAATAAAGAACGAGCGCTAATTAGAGGTAACTTGCTGCTAGTTACTTGTATTGCCGATTCCATTCTTTCATCAGTTTGAAAAGATTGCAACTTTGCATAATTTGTTTGAAATGTGTAATACACGTGAAACATAATTCCAGAACCAATCATTTTTACCATTGTATTCATTACTTCGGTCATTGACTAAATGTTGGACTTGGTGGGCTTAATACCCAGGGGACTTGGTGTGATTTCTTAGTGGCTGAGCGGATCCTTAGCAGTTTGGAAAGGCCTAAAATGGTTGAAAGGGGTTTGAATTAGCGGAAATTGCTGAAGTTGTGACCGCAATTGAGGAATTGAATTAAATTGATGAAATGTGAAAAGGGTTTATTTGAATCCTCTGCTTATTAATCCATTTCAGTACAAATGTACCTCTAATCTTAGTTTTCTCATTATCATTTAATTGATCATGTGGAGTCAAGAAGTTAGCGTTTGAAACTACAAAATGACAATCTACTTCATCATAGACAAACTTTAATCTTTGTATTTATTAGCCATATTCATATTACTTAACCATTATATCCACTAGCCCTACTGATAGGGGGCCAGCCAACCCAAGTACCAAAATAAATCGGGTGTAGTATTGTTATGTTTGGGATCCTTCATTTTTAGTATAATATATTCGTTCATGCTCGTTTTCTTAAGGATGTTATATGTTAATGTTTTTTATTGTTGTCCTAGAAAGTACTCTTTTAAAAAAACAAGTGAGCAAAGCCACAAACAATTAAAAAGCTAAACAAGTACCATTCTGAATATTCTCATCAAATCACATAATCAGATTTTAGAACTAGATTTAAATAAATCAAGTGCAGATGGATTGAAAGAAAGAACAAGAGTGATTTAAAGGATAAGGATTTTAGGATTTAATCAGGTGTTTAAGGCCTTGGTACAAGATATAGTCCATGGTTGTTGACGATGAAGAGAAGAACTCGAAGCTATATTGCCCGGAATAAAAATCCGTATGAGCACAGTACTGTTCAAGTTTTGTTTGTTTATCAAACAAGCTCTAAAGTGGCTCCAGTTTATGTTCTTTTACCTATTTGTTAAAAATCTGTATGAGCACTCTGTTCATTTACAACTCGACCTATCGATGTACTCCTTACATTATAAAAGGGGCCGGGGCTCGAAATAATCTTCATTCTTACATGCTCACTCATATTCATACATGCTACACAGCAATACAAGGTTTTCTCAACTATTCAAATTCCAAGTGCTTGACTTTATGCTTCGGCTTCTCATTTTCCTTACTTATTATATGCAAAATTGTATTGGAGTACTAATTATAACAGGTATATGTGAAGTTTAGGTGAGTTGAGATGGGCACTCTGTACAACTATGTCGCTGAGAACTTAAAGAATAATGCCTCAAACACATTGCAGCACGAGAAATGTGAAGCTCATTGGCCTTTTAGTGGTGAAACTGCACTTGGTGATGCTTTACGTGCCATTTTGTATTTCATGGGTCTTTTCTATTGTTTCATTGGCTTGTCAGCTATTACCTCATGTTTTTTTCGGTCCATGGAGAATGTTGTGAAGCATACTCGAACAGTGGTGGAGACCGATCCAAGCACGAACACCAAAGTTGTCAAGAAGGAAAAGGTTTGGAATTACACAATTGCTGACATCACTTTGCTGGCCTTTGGGACTAGCTTTCCACAGATATCATTGGCCACTATTGATGCAATACGAAATATTGGACAATTATATGCCGGAGGTATTGCCATTTTTTGCTTGTTCTTGCTAGATTCAAGCCTATTCACCTTGTATTGTTAATATAGAAATTATAAAGTATCAGCAGTAATTGGATTCATACTAAAAGATCATCTCGATAGGAATAGACGAATAGACAAGTGAGGCTTGCTTCTTATACACCCTTGTGGTGGACCCTTCCCTGGACCCTCGCCTGGCCGTAACGCTAATGTGCACCAGTCTGCCTTTTTTATTGTTTTTGGCACAATTGAATATATTTATTTTTTGTTTGTATACCTATAATAACAGGTTTGGGTCCAGGAACACTTGTTGGTTCTGCAGCTTTTGATATGTTTCCTATACACGCGGTTTGTGTTGTGGTGCCTAAAGCTGGTGAGTTGAAAAAGATATCGGATCTGGGGGTCTGGATCGTAGAACTTTTCTGGTCCTTCTGGGCTTACATTTGGCTCTACATCATTCTAATGGTAAACACAAATTTCATATCTAGCTCTGTATTATCAGTTACCGATTTCAACCCAAAGTCTTATTAACCCATTATTTCTTTAATTTTCAATTTTGGCATTCTAACAGGAAAGTTTTTCAATTTTTCTGATGTTTGTAGGTATGGACTCCAAATGTTGTCACCTTGTGGGAGTCTTTGTTGACGGTTCTCCAGTTCGGGTTACTACTGATACATGTGTATGCTCAGGACAAGCGCTGGCCGTATTTGTCCCTCCCTTTGTATGATTTTGTTGCGTATCGAATCTCTTTGTAATTCATAAATAATTCAGATTTTGTTGAGAACAGTTTTTTTAATTTATTTAACTAGATCTAATCTTAAGTCATTGCTTATCAGGGAAAGGTCTGATAGGCCAGAGGAGTGGGTTCCTCCTGTAGAGGGTGCTACACATGGGCTTACAGTTCAAGAGGAGTGCTCAGAATCACTCAATGATGGAGATGATGAAAATAGGGAAGTTGTTGATATTTTTTCCATCCATTCAAGGCACAAGACAGGTAATTTCTGAAAGCAAGAACTTTCATTTTAGATTTGAATAATTTTTTACTTGATTACTTCTAGTTATCATTAATTTGAAACTATAGTATAACAATCCTCTGGGCCCATCTGGTAAGAGTTTTTTGGCTGAAATGACTGAATTTGCAAGAGGAAAAGCATTGGGTAGCTTTTTTTATGAGGATTCAGGAAAAGTTAACTATTACGAAAAGCTATGTACAAGAAAAATGAAATATAAGGTCTTCTTGGTAACTTCCTCTGCTTTGAGTTATTACCTTTTCTATATAGTATAGTATATATGCTCTCTTTTGAAAGAATAACTTTTACAGGTCATGCTTATCAAATATTGCCTGGTGCAGATGTTGCTGAATCATCTGCAGAGTTGGACTTTGACAAAACAGCTGTTAATGAATCTGATATCATCACAATCTGGAAGCAACAGTTTCTCGCTGCACGTGTTGTACTGTTCTTCCCTCTTCCTTTTTTAAGGGTCTCCTTTCCAAAATTCGTGGGAAAGATAATACTCCCTCCATCCCAGTATGTAAGATACATTGGAGTTGGCACGAGTTTTAGGAAAGTAAAGAAGATACTACTTTTGTTTAAGATGTAGTATAAAAGTAGTATGGGTCTACAAAAAGTAAAATGTGAAATGACAGTGATAGAGTATTAATCTTAGAGAGAAGTGAGAGCTAGAGAGAGAAAGTGAGCAATTAATATTTCTAAACCCTCTATAACTACCCCCTAGGGGGCTATTTATAGGAAAAATTTGGGTTTGGGCCCCCAAGTCTTGGGCCTGGGAGGCCCATTACAAAATAAGGCCTCTACTGGGCTGAATACATACTGGGCTGAATACATGATAAATTTGTCTAAGTATAAAATCTGTCCTGCCGGAGTCTTTTTGGCCGACGGAGGACCCATTCTTGTTCCTGGGCCTCTGGGCTGTATTCTGAGATCTATTTGAGTTTGGCTGATGGAGGGCCATATGGCCGACAAAGTGCCACGCGGCTGTCAGCAGCCTGTGTTTAATTTCTGGAGTATGTGGGCTATGGGGTCTCGGCCCATATACTGTATTAGATAGATAAAAGAATAAAGTGGAAAATTAAAAACTTAGTTAAGTTCAAAGTTTTAAACTAGGAAAATCTTCATGACTAATCATAATGAGAGTGTATCTTACAAAATGGGATAGATGGGGTAGGAAAGAAAACATAAAAGGGAATTGGAAAGAAAGGAAAAAATGTAGAGGAAAGTTAAAGAAAAGCTAAAACTTTCTAAATGGATCTTAAGTATTTGTTGATACTCATTTTATTTATTTATTTCTATTTTGAAAATTGAGGCAAATATCGATTTTCATCCTGAGCTTTCATTTTTAAAGTTTTGGTCCCAAGTCAGAGATGTTTAATCACTTTTGGTCTTTCTGACCACTTATGGAGTTAATTTTCGTACAATTTTCAGTTGATGTTTATGGGGAAAGCGGCCTCAAAAGAACCACAAGTGAAAAAATGAACGTTGGGGATTAAACGTAAGAATGACCTCATAGTTGTGGGGACCAAAAGTGAGATTTTCGTCTATTATTTAAAGACTGACTCTAAAAATATGCACATTTAGATAAAAATAATCACATTTCAATCTCCTATGCATTTTCAAAGCTACAGTGGAATGTAAGAAAGTAACTTTATTACCCCCTTCCCCTGTAGCATTGTCTACGATCCAAACATACCCTTAGTGGTGGGACTCAGTGGCGGAGCCACTATAGTTCAAGAGTGTTTAATTGAACACCTAAAACTTTGAAAAACATGTTAGTATACATGTATAAATTTAATTTAATTATTTATTGCTCTTTCAAATTTTAATTGTACAAAAAAATGAACACTCAAAACATGAATCATAAATCCACCACTGGTGGGACTGTGGGAGTATCATTCAACCATGTATTTCCATAACAAGAGGATGCTATAATATTAGCTGTACCCTCTCTCCAGATGACTAAATATGTCTTTGTTGTATCATGGCTCTTGATTATCTTCATTTCATTTACAAAAATGCTTAAATAGTGTTTTTGCTTTGTGTGTTGCTTTTGGCTCATATTTATATCCTTCAATTCAATACGGAGCAGTTAGAACATGCAAAATCCAGGAAACTGGATAACATGTGCCTTCAGGCCACACGTTTTTCATGGAAAATACTCCAACTACCATGGCGGCTTCTCTTTGCGTTTATACCTCCCTGTCAGGCTGCCCATGGGTGGCCTTCCTTCATATGCTCTTTGATCTTCATTAGTGGGATAGCATATGTCGTTACACAACTCACAGACCTAATAAGCTGTGTTACAGGTTTTCTTTTTCCTTGTTCTTTTTAAATTTGAAAAGTCTACACTATTTTATTTGAGAGAACTATATGAAGCAATAGGTGTTATGATGACTGCAGGAATTAGTCCTTATGTCATTGCATTCACAGCATTGGCGGCTGGAACTTCATGGCCTGATCTGGTCGCTAGTAAGATTGCTGCAGAACGTCAGTTGACAGCTGATTCAGCCATTGCTAACATCACTTGCAGGTCACTTACAAATTTTGAATCAACTCTTTATTCGGGTAAAATGCATTTGTTGGTCATGTCACTGTAGGAGGCTAGTGACATTAGTCCTGGCACTTCAGACTGAAGTCATGGGTAATTGAAAAGTCCACCAAAATGTGCCAGTTTCGAAAGGGGGATTCAGCATATTGGTGCTAGACAATTTTATAAGTTAAAGCTTAAAAAAGTTCGAAAATGCGTGTTTTAAAAAGTTGCTAATTCCCTGTTCTCTTTATTCAAAAAAATGAGGGGGTTTGACATCAATATATTACTAAAGGAAAAGCTAAAGACTAGGAGTGATTACCTTTTAAATCTAAAGGCTAGAAGTGACAGGAAATTTATGGAGCCCTAATCCCTATATGACTCCACTATGGAGTCATATAGCATATGTGGCTTCACACAAATAACTCATTTTTAGAATGTGTCCTCCACTATAAATTCATTATAAAGCCACATAGCCTATATGACCCCATAGTGGAGTCATATAGGGCTCCATAAAATTTTTGGTGAAGTGACTACATTTTAAATATTTACCAGAACTAACTAGTTAGCTCACTTTTAATATATTACTAAAGAAAATACTAAGCGACTACTTCTCATAATTTACCAGAGGTGACTAGTTATGTCATTTTTATATTAAAATGGTAAGAGTGTAAGGCCCAATCCCAGTGGCACCAGCCCAAGTATCATTGTAACCTCAAACTGGCGGCTGCAGTTTGCGGTGATTATTTTGGGTGATTTTTCCTGCCACTTTCCCATCTGGTGGCCGTTCCCTGTAATGGTTTGGTCATTGTTTCGAATGATCTTGGACATTTTAAAATTTAATAAAATTATTACTCTACAACCAATTCGTCATATCCTGGTTTTGAACTGTGTGTTCGGTTAAAATTTGCAACTATCCGTGGCTTCAGAACCGCATTCTGGAGTCTAGACATTTTGAAAGAAATGAGTCTAAAATCAACATTGCCAAAAAATACAACCCGTGCAGTTTTGGTAAGCCCCTCTAATGAGGGACCAAAGATATTGCATTTCCCTCTCTCTGGCAGGAAGAACCAAAGATATCGCATTTCCCTCTCTCTGGCAGGAGGGACTTATTATGTATTTGGTTTTGCAGCGATTCGGTGAACATCTATATAGGCATTGGCGTTCCGTGGCTGATTGACACGCTCTACAATTTCTTTGCGTTCAAAGAGCCGTTGTATATACAGAATGCCAGGGGGCTAAGCTTCTCTTTGCTCATCTTTTTTGTTACCTCAGTTGGGTGCATTGCCGTGTTGGTGTTTAGGCGAGTCACTTTAGGTGCTGAGCTTGGAGGTCCTAAATTATGGGCCTGGGTGACTAGTGTGTATTTCATGTTGCTCTGGCTTATATTTGTTATACTGTCTTCTCTAAGAGTTTCTGGCATTATATAACAAGTTCCATGTTGTTGATATCATAGCCACTTTGTTTTGTGGTTAGAGCTTAATAATAATAATGGCTTAAATGCAGTACTAAAATTAGGATCAACATCAGACTCAAATAAGCATGGAGGTATACCTTACCGAGGTTTCGATATCATGTACAATATTGTATACAAAATCAAATTAGGGCATTTTCATAAAACAACGACCCATATTGTACAAGAATTTCGGTATACAAAAAGTTTTTATACTGTTTTGTATTGGCGAAATTTCGATCTATTCACTTTACTGATAGAGTTGGGAATGTCGCATTAGGGTTGTTGTCGTGTTGAAGCTTGAAAAGTTTATACTAGAAAACTAAAGCTTCATATTCATATTTGAATATAAATTCTTACAGTATGTATATAACCACACGTAGGAGTGGACTCGGGCCGGTTCGGGCCTGGGCCCGGCCGGGCTTCGGCCCGGCCGGGCCTCGGTTCAAGAAGGGGAGGCCCGGAACCGGCCCGGGTAACCCCCGGGTCCGGGCCGGGCCTCGGGTTTTTTTTTCGGGCTTTTCCTAGTTAACCCCCACCCCTCCACCTCACCCCCAAACCAACCCTAACCACCTCAAATGGCCCAAAATAACCAGCCCAACCCAAAAAAAAAAAATTCAAAAAAAAAATAAAATTGGCCCGGCCCGGGCCCGAACCGGCCGGACCGGTTCACCTTTTGAAGGGCCCGAGCCCGAACCGAGAATCCACCGGGCCGGGTGGCCCGAATCGGCCAACGAACCGGTTCCCGGGCCGGTCCGGGCCCGCACAGTGGCGGGCCAGTCCGGTTCCGGGCCGGTTGGCCCGGCCCGAGCCCACCCCTAACCACACGTAAACACACTAAAATTTGGGTGTGGAGAGGGCACGGCTCTGCGTTATGGTTGGACTCAGGTCGGGCCACCCGGCCCGTGGACCGGCCCGGCCCGCTACTGTGCGGGACCGGGACCGGCCCGGTTCTCGGGTCCGGGTCTGGGTCGGGCCTAGGCCCGGGGGGTAGGGCGGGTCCGGGCTCGAGTCTCAATTTTGGTGAACCGGCTCGGGCCAAATTGATTTTTTTTTTTATTTTTTTTTTCATTTTTGGGGTTCCACCCGGGTTGGGCTTGATGGGTAGGATGGGTTTGGGGGGGTTTGGGAGGGTGGGGGTGAGGGGGGGGGGGGTTAGGAAAGCAAAAAAAAAAAAAATCCAAACCGGAGGCCCAGCCCGGCCCGGCCTGGCCCGGACCCGGACCGGACCCGGTGGCTACCCGGGCCGGTCCCGGGTCCGCTATTCTTGAACCGCCGACCCGCCCGGGCCTAGGCCCGACCTGGACCCGGCCCGGACCCGAGTCCATCCTTACTCTGCGTTCTTCCCTTGATGTATCTTGAACTTTTAGTTAATGGAGAGGTGAGGTGAATAGGTTATACACAAATATACATTTGTTAGAAATATTTACCAAAACAAAAACAATACAATTAATAAGATAAAAAATGAACAAAAACATAAAATAAATTTAAAATATTGAGGACAACTTACAATAAAGTAGGTATGTGCAATGTCATATTTCATATTGGTATAAGACGGCCTCATTCAGAACACAATCAAACATGTTTACCCCTGTCTCATTAGGTTTCTGAGCTGTCCCATATAAATGTTCACATTTTCATTTTAGGAAACAATTAACAATCTTAAGTGACAAATTAATATTTAAAATAATACATTTATAACATCACAATTATCAATATTAACTACATTATAGTATGTACCTATTAAAATTATTTCTCAAAATATATTCAAAGTACTTTATTTAATTATTGTCTAAATAATCGTGCCGTTTTGCTATGGGAACCTTGCAACGGGACGGAGACAATATATTTTAAGGGATTTTAATTTGTATTCCGAAATTCGGAACACCGTCATGTGCCTCTCTCGATGTTTGTTGAAGATTTTGTTAAAAACAAAATGCCCAAACGACTTCGTTTAGCGTCTTGCGAAATTTTTTAATCGGGGTGGTTGGAAGGTTGCACTCGTGGCTCCATAGTATATACTCACTTCGTCTCATTTAAAGGTTCTCGTTTAATATTCTCCGCTCAACATGCATTGTTCTTAATCTTTTACTTTATATATCAAAAGCTTATGAAATTTTAATTATTTTTTGCAGGTTTTGTAGCGGTTTTGATGTAGTTTCTAATACGGAGTATGTAAATTTTATTTACTAAAAATAATTCTATGAATGATAGAGATCAGTTAACTTTATGGTCAGTCAAATATTGTAAATCGCATGAGAACCTTAAAGTGGGACAGATGGAGTATTAGCAATGCTTTCTTATCCTTTCTATATGTAACTTTTTGCGGGGTACGGAGTGGGTGGGTGGAGTGCGGCCTCTCCACCTCTTACCTACCTCTTTTTACCATTGATCAACCAACTTGTTATTTATAAAAACTTACTAGGATAAAATTAAAAGTGATAATAATGATGTGCCATACTTTAAAGAGAAAAGTTCCAAAATAGCACAACATGTATGTTTTTCCCTAAATAGGACAAGAAATCAAGCTTTTTCCCAAAATAGCACCACATGTATGTTTTTCCCTAAATAGGATTAACTTTACCTTTTACCCCTAATTCTATTTAATTAATTAATTGATCTAAATAAGTGTCCCTCTAGTTTCCTTGCACAACCAAGGCAGTTTGTCGGTGACAGGGTACTCTGTGGCGGCGGTGGATTCCGACAGCGGCGAACTCCGCCAATTAATTAACTCAATCAATTGTCTCCTATTTCTCTTGCACAATCAAGGCAGTCCGTTGGTAGCGGGGGTAGTCCGGTGCCGACAGCATCGGCGGATTCCAGCGGCAGGCGGCGGCTTCGGCGGCAAAAATCTGGCGGGCTGCCTGAAAAAAATATCTGGAATTTTCCGGCCGCCGTGGTCAGAGGTCCGGCAGGAGGCGGCGGTCCGGCAGTCCTGGCCCTCCTGAGGCATCAGTGGTAAAGGCTATGCGGGGTATTTTGGTCCAATCACAAATAAAAACTTCTATTTAAGAATGTTTAAACTAGGTACTCCTATTTTGGGGAAAAATCACGCTTGGCTCCTATTAAGGTAAATCTCTCAAAAAGGATTAGACTTGAAAATTTCATAAACTTGTATTTTAACACAAATTAGTTGTGTTGGAACTTGAGAAAAAAGGCCCAAATTTTGTCGTTGCACATGGTCTCTATATTCCCAGGACCGGCCCTGTTGTCTCTTATTCCATTTTGGTCTGTTCTTAAATAGTTGTCCTTTTTTCCATTTTTAGAAAGTTTTTTCAATACACATACATATATATCCTCATTCTTTTTTCTACTTTTTCTTTCTTATTTTTTCATTTAAACACAACCCACTACCCTAATTATTTTCCTCTTAAAACCCGTACCAAAGCCTAAGAGGACAAATATCGGAGAACGGAAGGAGTAATAAAAATGTGAAAAAATAAAATAAAAAAATATTTAAAAAACTAAAAATTCCAAAAAATTACATAAAATACCTAAAAAATATTTAAAAAATATGTAGACCACTGCTACCGTGTCCTCCACCTCCCAGCACCACCAGCTCCGGTCGCTAGAAAAATGTCATCTTGTGTAAAAAATGCCACATTCCTCTAAAAATGTCATGAATATGACATTTTTATTCTTTGAAAGTATCTAGCATTCTTTTCAAAATTGCCATCACGATGACATTTTTTCAACTTGGCATTCTTTTCCAGCAACACGAGGTGGCGCGCTGGAAGGTGTCTGAGGTGGCAGTTGAGCCCTGTATATTATTTATTTATTTTTTACGTTTTTTTATTTTAATTTTTGTGTGTTTTATTATTTTTGTGTTTGATTTTTTTTTAATCCTATTAAGAATGATATAAGAAAGTGTAGAATAGGAAGAGTCAGTCCTATTTTGTGAATTTAAACTTGAAATTTCTATTGTTGCAATTTTGCTACTCCGTCTTATTTAGTCGTATTTAGGAAAATCTCTCATATTGTATTGACTAGAGTAGTTTTCTTTATCAAGGTGATCTTAACTCTTTAAGGGTATGTTTGGGAATTGGGTTTTGGAAGGGAGTGGATGGTTGACAAGGGTTTATAACCACCCTTTCATGTTTGGGAGTTAAGAAATATGAAGGGGATGATATTGGAGAGCTTTTGTAATCCTCCAAAACTTTTCAAATGCTCAATTTTCAAGTTCCCCCAAATTGGGGTATTTTGAAGAATAACTAATTAAATGACAACTTTAGCTCAATTAGAAATAAATATAAACTCAATTATTTGAATTCGTAATGTATGTGAAGTGATTTTAATTATAATCCGAAACATTTACCTTTTCAAACTTGTTACTCTCAAACAAGAAGAAGAACTTCCAACCTTTTCCCTCCCCTTCCCTTCCAATGACTAACGTTCAAAACCTTCCCCTCCCCTTCCATTCAAACTCCCAAACATATCCTAAGTGTCACAATTTATAATACAAATATGAACTCTTTGATGTTTCACTTGTAACATTTATAATCAAATTTTAGTTAGTGTAACTACATATGTATAGTCCAAATAAAAGTAATAAATTTAACCAATTTTCTTTTTACCAATTTGATAAACCGCCATCTTTTTTTACCAAAGTGGTAATTTGAGTATTTGACCTCAAAATCTCTAACTTATATTCTTTCAAAATCAATTTTCTTTTCAAACTACTGTAAAGCATTTTTATACTACCTCCGTCCCGCAAAGAAGTTCCCACTTTTCTTTTATGGATATCCCAAAAAGAAGTTATCATTTTTATAAAAGGAAACCATTTTTAATCAAAAAGTCACAACTACTCTTACTTTTTGCCTACTTTTTGTTTGATTTGACATAAAGTAAAGGTATACTTGGAAAGTCAAAATAAAACTATACCATACATAAATATGTGTGTAGGTAACTTTTTTACGGGAGGGATGGAGTATAATCATTTTTATAGTATCGTATAAGCTATTGAACCAATTAAACAAATTTTAAAGTGACATGGAGCGACAAGTAATCGTCATTATACTTTGTCTCCTTGAATTGTTCATTCATACCGGAAAAACTTGGCTATGGAGAGCTTGGTTGCTTCCAGATTTGGATTATGTACGAATCCTTTCCCTTCTTGGTTGCCGTTATCCTGCTCCTCAATGAAAAGGAATTTTCTCATTTCCACCTCTAAGGCGAACCTACGTGCTCAGTCTCAGCAGAATGATCCCCTTCTCAATGCTGCCTTCGAACGCGCAGCTGCACGTTTCCAAGAGTCTCAACGTTCAGGCAAATCTATACCCCCATCCCTAAACTCTTATAGGCTCATTAAATTTCGACATTTCGTTTGTTAGACTATCAGTGTTACTGCTCGTTGAAGAATTTCCTCGAACAACTTGTGATTCCGAACATGATATTTATGACGCGTGCCTCAATCTCTATGCTCAGTTTGCTATTTAAAACGATTGCCGTGATGAATATAGCTGCCAGTTTTATCTGTTAAAATGAGAAATAGGAGCTTATGAGTTATGACTGAGCGTAATTATTATTACATTGTAGATCCTTTGTTCATTGACCCATATGCTGGCTGCCTTCTTCCGGTTAAATTTGATGTTCTTAGTGAACAACGCCTGCTACCTTACTGCCTTGCAACTAAGTTTATCGATGATAAGCTATTGAGCGCATTAGATAAAGTTGATGGTCCGAAGCAGGTATAAGAAATAAAGCTCAATCCACTTGCTAATATAACAATGCACAGTCTGCACTTGTATATGTACAGTACCTTGTTGCTGCAGGTTGTTTTGTTTACGGATGGGATGGATACTCGTCCGTTTAGACTGAATTGGCCAGCATCAACCATAATCTATGATGTATCTCCAGAGGAGGTGTTTAGAACTGCAACTGAAAAGCTTCAAGGTTCTTGCTTCTTTTTGCCTTTTGCCTATGTTATCTGCTTCTTTTGTTTCTCTCAGAATTAGTAAGAATTCTTCTAAAAAATATCAGATGTTGGGGCTAAGATACCAAGGAGATGTGTATTTCATCACGTCCCATTGAATTCATCTAATCTACAACATATTCTGGGCAATAAAGGTTTTAATGGCACCAAGCCAAGTATTTGGGCTTTCCAGGTAAATGCTCTTGTGTAGTTCTGATCTTCAAGTTTAATTCATGCCCTATAGAACTAATAGAAATTGCTCTAAATAGGACTATACAACTTAGACAAAATGCACAAATAGGACATGTATTTTATTCCCGGAATATGACTCATTTGATCCAATTAAAAGTATAAACTTCCCCTATTAGGAGTGAATAAGTCCTATTTTGGGAAGAAAACAATGATAGTCCTATATGTGCATTTTTTGATGTTTTAGTCCTATATAAGGAATTTTCTCAAGAATTAACTGTAAAAGAACATGGATGAATATGTAAAGGATGCTTTACAGGGACTGCCAGTAATGAACATGGAGATCTTTAAAGATATTTTGTGCGTCATAAGTAATCTAGCCATGAAGGGAAGCTTATTGTTGGGGGAGCTTCCTCTTTGGCCGGGTGAAACTGATTTTAGGTGTAAGGTCAGTGAACAAGATCTTTGAATGTGCATTTATTTTCAAATTACACTTGTTGCGTTCTCTCTCATAATTGATTACACAATCTAGTCCACCACAAAGAGATGCTTGGAAAGCCTTTTCATGAGCTGCGGTTTCCATGTGGAAGTGATAGAGTGCAATGGATTACTAATGGAAGAGTACGCCAACATACTTTTTGTTGCAGAGCATCTGAGGTTTTCTGATGATCAGGTACTGCTATACAAAGGTTCTCATTGGTTTTATTTAGCATTATAGATTGTTTTTTCTCTATAATCTATACTATACACAGATGGAAATATGGAGGAGAGAACTTCAAAGGATAGAGGAAGAAGGAGATGAAGAAGGCTTTGAGGAGCTCTAGCCTTGTTTTATCCAACCAAAGATATTCCTTTGAACTGGTAAGCGTAACTGTGTCCAGGCTTTAGGATGAATGTTTTCTTTTAGACCGTTTTCAGTCTCAGACCAGACTTCCGTAATTATAAAATACACAACGACCATTCACTTAGAATCCATTCACTTGGTAGACATTTACCAGACTATACCATACCATACCATTTCAGTCCAAAGAAAACATCCTTAAACAAAAAATTATTTGTAAACTGATCAGGTCTGTGTCCAAACTTGACAGTTGACATCATTTTGATAATTGGTGTTTGCACGCGTGAAAATGATTCTTTTAATTGACACTTTCACATTTAAGAATAACTGTGAATACTCAGAAACAAATGGATTTTATTTAAATATTACTGTACTGATCAAGTAATAAAGGAAGTCGTTCTTATATAAGAATCTAAAAGCACAATTCTTCATCAGGAAACAATAGAAAAATCAAGAAGAATATACAAGGCTATGGAGATTCGAATCCCTGCTTAGACAGCTAAATCCACAGCCACACTGGGGGCAGACATAGAAATTGTCAACTGAAAATGAAGCAGACGTTATCCCGACAGAGAAGTTCAGATCTTCACCGTCATGAGTGACCTGCACTATATTCAGCCAGAAAAGCATTATCTTCACCTGCACACCACCCAAGTTACTCAGCCTGCCCTTAAAGATTGTCCCTGTGATCTTGTTAGTGTACTTTAGGGTATACCCCTTTATGGTGAAGCTGCACGACCCGTCAAAGTAAGCCGCGAACTTGCCGGTGTCTTTGTTGATCTCGTAGCTCTTGACCCCCGTTGGAAGAATGCCGATGGGGAAGTCATATTCCTGCAATATGTCATACGCCGTCTCCAAGCCGTCAATGGCCGGAGTGGTTCCCAATAATAGTGCAAAGCAGGCGGCAATCATGTGCAGTGGCGGATGATACATTTTTCCGCGGTGAATTAAAGGCGGCGATTTGGCGGATGATCTCTTAGAAAGGATGTTTGTTAGAGACAGAGGGGGTAAGCTTAAAAACTTGACAGATAGGTATTCCGCATGCTAATTGTAGTTACCCTTCAATTAATTAATTAATTAATTAATTAATTATTTAATTAAGTAATAAAAAGGAAGTCTAATCCACCTTTTTCAAAAAAAAAAGGAAGTCTAATCTGTTTCGACTAACATGGAAATGTTGGACATTGAGCATTATTGGGGACTTGGTGTAACCCAGATTATTTTTAATCAAATCTAGTAAACCGACTCGACTCTCAATAATCCATTTGTTTTACCGGGCATTGAACATTTAACATTATCATTTTTATATTCGTATTCATTAATAATTGACTATTGTTATGAGCGCATAATCTTCATTCACATATACGGAGCAGCATATATATATACATGGGAGAATAGGATTAGGGCTACACTAGTTAATGGACTTAATCCTTATGGAACGGGAAGTAATGAACATTCACGTATTACATAACACCCTCTTTGGATGTATGTTGCTAATAAAATACATTACAAGAAAAATATATATTATGCTTTTTATATGTGTTGGTTATGCCGCCTCATTAAAAACCGTGGAGGAAAACCCAATGGGACAAAACATTGGTCAAGGAAAAAAAGGCGCAACACATATATACTCACTCCGTTGACTACATCGCTTCAAAATTTCTCTCCAAGTCTTTCTTGAAGAATTTAATCCATCCTAGTTATAATCTTCTTGTAGCAATATTTGTATTATGTGTATGCCTCATTAAAAACCTTGTTGGAAAAACCCTTTGAAAAAAAACAATCAAGGAGAAGAGTACATAATATATGTAAAACGATGTGTTGAATTGATTGCCTCAATAAAAACCTTTAATTAAGAAAACCATGTGGGAAAAACTTAGTAAATGAAAAGAGTACAGGCATTGGCCTTCGGGGCCTAATTTTCTGGATTGCATTTGAATTTACTCTTCTAGAGAAAAATAATACTCCGAATTTTATGTATCATAATATGTTATTTCGAAGTCACAAATTGCCTCGTTAAAACCTTTGACTAAGAAAATCCAATGGGACAAAATTTGGTTAAGGAAAAAGAGTACAGTTGCAAATGATCTTCCAGACCAATAAATTTTTCGATCTCACAATGATGAATTAAGACCTTCAGGTTACTATCTTCTGAACTAATATTAGAATCACTCTTCTAGATGATAATAGTCTTCCGGATGTATTGAATCTTTCACATTCTTTAAAAACCACAAAATATCTTAAAACATTTGGCCAAGAAAACCCTTTGGGAAACAAATGGCTAAGAAAAAGAAATAGCACATGGTCTTCTGGACCAATTATTTGTTTTACCTCAATCAACTCCATATAATTTGAGCTCATGAAAATCTTTAGTATACAAAACTTCCATCATTATTTATACCGATTTGATGGACATCAGTAACCAAACTCTTCAAGAGTTTCTAAGCAGAAGCACTTGCCTTAACTCATGATTTTGAAATGGGTATTTCAAGACCATCAAATTTAGAGATAATGCTCATATGCACATCAAACATTTAATAATTGAGTATTCTCAAATATTGGCCCATAAAAATTTAAAAAGGGTGTACTTTGATTTTCATAAGATTCAATCCCAAATAATTATACTAACACTTCAGGTGTTTATAATCGAAGGACTCAAATGTGTTCCTTCTAAGTTTGGCTAGGTGTTTCAAACTTCCAACACTTTTATTTCACATTTCATTTAGAGAACAATATATGTTTTCCTTATTCAGCTCTTTCTGAGTTGATATCTTTCTGAGTTGATATCTTTCTGGCCGATGGAGGGTAATCTGGCCGACGGAGGCCCCACTGGGTGACAACTGTTCCTCTCATTCTTCTGAGTATGTGGGTCCTGGGGTCCAGGCCCATATACTCCATTAGGAGTCTCCCACTCTTTGAGCTGAGCTGTAGACGAAGTGAGGGAGAGTAGTTTCCGGTCTTGATGTCTTTTGGTCGTCGTAGCCATTTCTTGTTTTGGTTCTTTTGTTTTGGCCGTTGTATGCTCTTCACTGTGGACGAAGAAGGCTGATGTTCTTCCGATGGGGTGAGTTTGCTTGGTTTAGGACGATGAGTGTCCTGGCTTAGTGGCCGGTATGTGCTCTTGATTTGAATGGACGATGCGGGTGCTGTTCTTTCCTCTTGGTCACCAATGGTTGCTTTTGGTGGCTTGGCCGAGGAGGTCTCTTGTTTTGCTTTCGCGCTTCAGGCCGAAGCGGTGATGTCCGTAGTTAGGTGTTCATGTCTTTTGAGGACGATAGTGGCGCCGGCTCAGAAGGAGCGTGTACCTTGATCTTATGGATGATGATGACCCGAGGACGTTGTGTTCCTGTTTTCTCAACTTGGCCGAGGGGGAGTGTGTGATCCTGAAGCCGTTGAGAGCGCGTGTCAAGGGAAGATACGCGTCACATTTTGGGAGGAGTTTACTTCTTTGTTTGCTAGTGTTGTTGCAGCTGAGGGTGCACCACAAGGTTATGGACGTCATGGTGCATATATGATCTAATGTTGTAGTTGTGGACTTGGTGTATTTTTTGGATTTCTTGATTTTGTCCTCTCTTGTATTCCAGAGACCGGTGTAGTCCCCCAGTCCCCCACTGCTTCAGCCCGAAGAGTAAGCGAGGAAGGAAGGGGTAAGGTGTAACCCTAGGCCGAAGCGGGATCCTTGTATTCCCCTGAATCCAACCCCTTGGCGATTCCTGACCAAGGTAACCCTGTGGGAGAACCCTTGGACGCAGGTCGCTTTCAAAAAGTTATCATCAGGAGTTTTATACAAGGCCGATGGCTGTTGAGTTGTTTTTTGCTTTGCTGTTATGGCCGTTGAAGGGGGTCTGCTATTGCTAGTGTGTTGAAGCCGATACGGGCACACTTTGTGGTGTGACCAACCATTGAAATGATTATTGGCTGCCAGGGCCGATGTATAGTGCCCTGTGGAGGCAGATACTTCTTCCTGGTATGGCCGTTGAATGGTTGGCCGTTATGGACGCCGATTACTGGCGATGGACTGGTACTGATGGAAGTGGGCCTGACCCATCTTCTGAATCAGTGGCAGCCCAATTGGCTTTGGGAGTGGTGGTCGTTCGTGTGACCAATGGGAGGGCGCCACGTGTAGTGACCGTTGGGGAGAGGTCTATAAATACCCCCCTCCATCCGAAGAAGCTCCCTATTGCATTCTCAAAGAACGAAGTGCTGCCCAAATTTATAGAGAGATAAAGTGCTTGCCGGTGTTCTTCCGTTTCTTCTAAACTTCAAAGGTTAGTTCATCGCACTCTTCTCCGATTTCTTGCATATTTTGCTTCCCTAGGGCTGTAATCTAGTGTTAGTAAAAAACCGACCTTAGATCCAAAGTAGCTCCCTTTAGGGTTTCTTTAGCTGTTAATGATGAAGACCTTGGATGATGAATACTACCTGTATGATGATGAGGCCTCCGTCAAATCCCTTGACTACCGGGTGGTGGAGGAGTGCTGCGAGGAGATAGAAGATTTGAGCTCCTTCAAGTCAGGGGAGCAAGAGGTTGAGGAGAACCAGGACGAGGAGGCCGCCTCGTCGTCTGAAGGGGAGGACGTTGGAGTCTTTCGTGCCATGGACGAGGCATCTACATCCTGCCGCCATACCTTGCCCGAAACCGATCTCTGCCGTTAAAGGTACTGCGCCGAAGAGAAGGCGCCGGCCGAAGAAGGGACCTGCTTTCTCCTTCTTGGATCTAGCCAACGTCCGCATCATCTGGCCGCAGAGCTGCGCGACCGGGTACTTGGTTGCTCAAATGTATGTGGGGCCGTTTGGTAGGGTTAAGACCCCTAAGCCGACGGACCACGTACTGAATCCGCCTCCAGGGTACTTTGGAGTATACCCCATGAGCTTTGCCAAGGGGTTTAGGTTTCCCCTCCATCCGTTCATTACGGAGTACTTGGACATGGTGGAACTTCCTTCGGCCCTACTGACCCCGAACAGCTACTCGTTGATCATCGGCTTCCTCCTCCACTGTGACGAGTTAGGTTTCAAGCCGACAGCGGCCCTTTTCACGAACCTATATCAGATAGGCCGAGGGAGCCAACAGAACTGTTCCGGCTATGCCAATTTGCAGGAGGTGAAGAATAGGAGGTCCTTCTCTGATCTGCCGACGTCCATCCATGGATGGAAAAGCAAGTTTGTCTCCGTGTCCTTGGGCGAGGGTGGAACCGAGTTTCCTTCTGTTGGCCACAGTGGTAGGTTTAACCTCCATGACGCGCCGAAGAGTTCCATCTTGGACGCTCAGGTGGCGGCTTTCTTGGAAGGAGGGCCGAAGAGCGTAAAACATTACATCACAGAGTACAAGATGGCTGCCATCGGCTTTGTGAGGTACTTTGTGTACGGGGATGCAGAGAAAGATGTCGCTATATGACCGAAGATGACTACCACCTTCGAGGAGGCCGATGGCCCGGATTTGGGAGTGCCAGCCGAAGCCGATGGTAATGCCTTCCCAAAGCACTTGATCCCATTTTGTTTTATGCACTTTGCTAATGTGTTTTTTCTTGTTATGCAGATTTTGTGATGGACCGCAGATCCGTCATGGCTCAAGCTAAGGCGAAAGCGCGCGAGGAGATGGCTGTCAAGGAAGCCGCCAGGTTGGCCGCTGCGAGTGGAGCATAGCTGAGCTCGGATGTGCCGAAGAAACCGCCCACCCAGTTGAAGAAGAAGCGACCGGTGGATGACGGTCAAAAGAAGTTGATCGAAGAGGGCTTCTCCTTCCGCCGAAGCTGATGTCGGGGCTGCGATTGTACCGGTCGAAGATGTTGGGGGTTCCAATGTCGTCACTGTAGTCGACCTGGTTTCTGCCCCTTCGTCCACTACTATCTCCTAGCCACCCCCTATCGTCCAGGACTCCCGGAAGAAGAGGGCCAGAAAGGAGCTGGCTGTCGGGACCTATAAGCTGGAGGTCAAGTACCCTGTAAACGGTGGTGTCTTCAATGATGCTGTTGACGACCATGATGTGCTTGCACAAGCCGTCCCAGTC